CCATTTATTCCTCTCCTGTTAAATATTATAATGATGTTCAATGTGCAATGCAATTTTATTTTTATTGTAATTATAAATGTGTATCGTATTTTTCAATACGATCTTATAGATTGTGTAAACTTATATTTCGTTCATGTTTTCGGGTCGGGTGTATGTCATGTCTTTGTTTGTTCTTCTGTTTCAGGATTGATTTCATTTTATTTGTATGTCATGTCACTAATCGTTACGTTCCCTTTCAGGTACCTAGATCATAGCATTTCCTTCTATCCTAAATTTTCCCTATTTTCTTTTTGATTCCTCCCGGGTGTGCGGTCGCGCGTTTGCTCTCATTTGCTGTGAATGAGAGCAGCGATTTCCATNCCAAACTTTCCTTATTTTCTTTTTGATTCCTCCCGGGTGTGCGGTCGCGCGTTTGCTCTCATTTGCTGTGAATGAGAGCAACGGCTTCCACGTGGCCGCATGTCCAGGTGCAAAAGGTAAATCATCTTCTTTCGAAGATGATAACCAGGTATCAATTCAAGCGCAAAACACAGCCTCTGAATTTCGATGCAAGACCGTTTCGCATTTAACCTTCACGAGGTTGCACCTGTTTTTTTCAACAGAAAAATGCACACACGGATCTCGTTTTGATCCACTAGATTTACCACACGCTGGTTTATCTATGGGATCAAAATTAAATTCTACATTAAAAAATCCATCACACGTGTTTCGCCCATTAAATTCTTACACAATTAGGTGTATTTTTAATCGCGAACCAATGGGGAAAAACGTGTGTCCCTCGGGTCTCTCGACCTTGTCCCATATTCTCTCCACTTATCATCTCCTAATAACTCTTTCATTTATTTATTTTTTTTTGTCCACACGTGTCGTTTTCGATCCAAAAAAACGTCGTATCAACAGCAAAATCTTAAATCGTCTCTTTCCTCTCCCACATGCATTATCGATGCGATGCGCAAATATTTCGGCAATCGTTCCGCGGATTATTAATGGGGCGTCGCGACGCCCGCCTCCATCTATTTCCAATGGAGATGACGACATCCTCCTAGTCGCAGATCCAAGTGCGTCAGAGAGAAAGAAAAAAAAACAACAACGACGATTACGAAAGGACGTGTGACGCCGCCGTTCCGCCACATATCATCTCTCTGGCGGCAACTTTGTATTATTCGAAATTTGCAACTTTTTTTTTTTTACTTGATTTATCGTCGAGACAATTGTATGAAGTGTGCACGTGTCGACTGCTAATTGTTTTTCTTTTCTCCTTGAACTTGAAACGTAATATTTCCTACATACTAATTAACATTTTTCCATCGTTTGCGTTAATTTAATTTGTTTCGATTTTGCGATTCGACGTTCCACGGGTATCGTTACTTTGTCCGTCGTAATTGATTTTACCTTGAACTTGCAAAAGAAAGAGCAGAAAAACAATTTTTTTTTTTTTTTCAATTAGGTTAAGTGTGGATGGACTCACGCAATTGCGTTTCATATTTTCGTTCTTTTGTCGTCGTCATAATGATGAAGTGTTGTTTATACATAATTTATAAGGCACGCAAATTAAATTTCTGGGAAAAGCGCGAAAATTAATTTCTCGTTCACCGCACGACTCGCATAACCAATTATCCGCGAAAACTATGTATTTATACGCTCGGTCACGAATGAAAACGGAAAGTTCTCGGAAAATGAATCATATAAATTGAGTGAGTGAGCGAAGTGTTTATAGGGCGTGTAAGAGAGAGAGAGTGAGAGAGAGTAAAAGGTTCGGAGATTGCGCGCACAAAGTTCAATCAATGTACGGTTTCGCTTTTAGTTTTGTTTTATTTTGAAAGGGAAAATATGGATTATTGGAAATTCGACTCTCACGCCGACAACATTTCGTGGGAAGTATATCGCCCGAGTGTAGGTGGAAATTGTGTTTTTGTGGAGGCGGCGGAGCGGTGAAAAAGTGCATTCTGCCGTGTTCACATTTGTGGATGATGCTGCTGCTGCGGGGGTGGCGGCGACGTGCGATGCGCAAAACCACGAAAATCCGCGAATAAAATCAATACGAACGTGCATTCGTGCAGGGGTGGGGGGCGAGATTGACGGATTTCGAGTGCAGCGCCATCTTTACGCAATCAATCAACCATAACCTAGGTTTGAACTAGGTCAAGGCTGCTGCATCCTTTTACAATTATCAATAAGTCCATATGATTCTCTCAACATTCCTGTTGTCTATACAAATCCCAAATTGTCTAAATAATCCAAATCTAATTTTAAGATTAATTAGTAAACAACAACAACAAAAAAATTGTATATTGTTTACTAAATATTTACAGATTATGAACGTTTAGCAAACAAATTTAAATTTGCATTTAAGTAAATGTTATTTTAAACGTTGATTATACTAAAAACAAAAAATTGTATTGTTTGATTAGTGATTAAGTTAATAAAAGTGTGTTTGTTTCTAGGAAGTTCTCGAATTGATGCGACTAAACGAGAGGGAATTACCAGGAGCGGATTCAAAGATGACTAATTGACGCCCTTATCGTTCGGAACAACAACAAAAAAACGGTGAGTCATTTAGCGGGATTTCGATATAGTCGGGATTTTGACATAGTTGGGAATTCAAGCGTCGGGACTGTAATACAGTCAGGATTTTGATTGTCGGGCTTATGATTATAAAGATTCTGATACAGTCGGGATTTTGATATAGACGAGATTTTGATTGTCGAGATAATGGTAGTCGGGATTTCGACATAGTTGGGATTTCAAGCGTCGGGACTTTAATACAGTCGGGATTTTGATTGTCGGGCTTATGGTTATAAAGATTCTGATACAGTCGGGATTTTGATATAGACGAGACTTCGATATAGTCGGGATTATGGTAGTCAGGATTTTGACACAGTTGGGATTTCAAGCGTCGAGACTTTAATATAGTCAGGATTTTGATTGTCGAGATTTTGATTGTCGGGATTTTGACATAGTTGGGATTTCAAGCGTCGAGACTTTAATACAGTCGGGATTTTGATTGTCGAGATAATGATAGTCGGGATTTTCGACATAGTTGGGATTTCAAGCGTCGGGATTTTGATAAAGCCTGGATTTCGAGTGCAGCGCCATCTTTACGCAATTAATCAACCATAACCTAGGTTCGAACTAGGTCAAGGCTGCTGCATCCTCCTACAATTATCAATAAGTCCATATGATTCTCTCAACATTCCTGCTGTCTATACAAATCCCAAATTGTCTAAATATCAATCAATGTTGTTAGTTTCACCCATCCAAATTCTCGATTATTGTCAAACACAATTTTGTTGTTCCGAAATCGTCGCGTTACCTAATTGTATTTTAATTGAGGAAACGGGGATTGCGCGATAACGACTTATAAATAACAATTACCATTGTTTAATTTCTATCTGTGATCAATCTGATCTGATGCGATAAATTTCATAAAAAAAAATACTCATAATGATTGTCAACTTTAATATCATAGATTTGTATTAAAAACAATCAATTGAATTGTAGATTTGTAATCTAATTTTAAGATTAATTAGTAAACAACAAATTGTATATTGTTTACTAAATATTTACAGACTATAAATATTTAGTAAACAAATTTAAATTTGCATTTAAGTAAATGTTATTTTAAACGTTGATTATACAAAAAAAATAAATGTATTGTTTGATTAGTGATTAAGTTAATAAAAGTATGTTTGTTTCTAGGAAGTTCTCGAATTGATGCGACTAAACGAGAGGGAATTACCAGGAGCGGATTCAAACATGACTAATTGACGCCCTTATCGTTCGGAACAACAAAAAAAAAACGGTGAGTCATTTAGCGATCATCTAACTTTGATAACTAATTCTAAGAAGCTTTTGTTTCGTTGCTGATGACCGCATCATCACAATCATGGGGGGCCGGTCCGTGTCACGTGATCACGGCGATCAGCTGTGCGAGAGCACGCGACACCTAACCTCATCCCCCCCCACCAACCCTCACACTTACACATTCACAACCTCCCCAGATCCAAATTGTTTTCCGTCGACATGCGCCGTGCGAACGTTCGGTCGAAGCGGTTTCCCATTTTAGAATTTATAGACCCGAGCGCGCACGCATCGCCAGAGACCAGTTTCCGACGTACAGCCGTGCCGTTACAATACACATACATACACTTGTGGACAAATCCTGAATAGTCTGTCCACTAAGAAAGGCAGAAATAGAGATCACAATAATACATAATTGTTATTATCCAATCCGTTTTTTATTTTTTATTATTTTCGGATTGGCAACACTACATAATAATAATATATGATTGCAGCAGCCTACTTTTTTCATTCGCCCTCGTGTGCTTCGAATTAGAACGCCCTCATCCACTACTACTGTACATGCGATCGCTTTTTATTGTTGACGCGATCATTTTTGCAGAGAGGAAGAATTTTGGTGGTGTTTCGCAGTGGCGCGCGTCGTACGCACGAGACTTTCTCCCATTGTGTTCGGTATCCATCCTTCTGGAGGACCGACCCCCACAAGTGAAATCAATTGCGCTATGTGACACATTCGCCAAGTGAATAAGTTGTGTGTGCGTGGGTGAGAGAGTGTGTTTTTTGTTTTGTTTTGTTTCATTGCTTCCTTGGATTTAGATTCTGTTTAATCAACAGCCGCAGCAGCAGTAACAACAACACCATCTCCTGGATAGTTCGGAATTAGATCACCAGTTGCCAAAGACAAGTGTGCCGTGCCGTGTGTGAATGGTGTTTGTTTTTTTAAATGTTTATATGAATATTGTATCCGTGTGGTGTTGGTTTTCAAAGTGCGTGGATAACTGCTGCAGTGTTCCTCCTCTTCTGCTGCTGCCCTGGCCGGAATCGATAGTGGCCAACCTTTTTCTCTGAGACAGCGTTGCCGAGGTTGCCAACCTTCTCTTGCCATTGACTGCGAACGCTCGCACAACGCAACCTGACACACACAGAGATAGCAACGTCGCACAGCTGACGGTGACGGAGAGGAAGAACGCGCGCGGGCCATTGCACGCACTCTCTTTTTATATAAGTAAGTAGTAGTAGACAACCCACTTTATGATTTCATACAAACACACTGTAAAAACTAAGCTAAATAGACACCCACCTTCGACGACGATCGCGTAGCAGAACGAATTAAGTTGGCAGCAATGTTTTCGCGTCTAATTGGGGAGGAGAAAATAAAAATGATAAGCAAATAAACAAACGTCACCTGTCATCGATGACGCATTGGTGACATTGGCGAAAGCGCAGTAATTGATAGCGGCAACAGTGCCAATTAATGTCAATTGTAGCAAACATCATTGCCATCTACAACAGAACTGTGATTTGCATAACTTGACCAGAAACGGATATTATTACGTCATTGTTTTGGCAGTTCAAATGTTGATATTGGAAAAAAAATTGTTATGTAATACGTTTGTTTGTTGCTAAACAAAATAAGTAAAGGTCAAGAGATTTGACGTTTCCTACAAACTTGATTTGGCGACATTGAAAAAAAAAATTGATTCTAATGAAGCAAAAAAAACTGTCAGGGTTTAATTGTCTAAAAAAAAAAGTGACGTTTCCGCGATGACAACAATGGAGGCTATTGTTTTATTTATTTACTCTATTGTTGCTTCGATTCTCACTAACAATTTGCAACGCGCACGTCTCCTCTTTCGAAAATACGTGTCACAAGTTTACCTTGCGAAATGTTTACGGTCGCCTTCGAACGAGCAATTTTCTGCATATCAACGCAATATTTCACTCGATTCTGTCAACTGTAATAATTCAATTATTCTAATATCCGTCTTTAAAATCGGTGGCAATCGCAAACTCGACAACCAAAATCCCATCTATCGAAATCCCGACAGTGTATTATACATTTCTACAATGACATTTTTATGGTTGTCGGGATTTTGATTGTCGGAATTATGGTAGTCAAGATTTCGATATAGTCGGGATTTTGATTGTCGGGATAATGGTAGTTGGGATTTCAAGCGTCGGGACTGTAATACTTTCGGGATTTTGATTGTCGGGATTATGGTTATAGAGATTCTGATACAGTCGGGATTTTGACGTAGTTGGGATTTTAATACAGTAGGGATTTTGACATAGTTGGGATTTGAAGCGTCGGGATTTTGGTTGTCGGGATAATGGTAGTCGGGCGTCGGGACTTTAATACAGTCGGGATATCGATATAGTCGGGATTATGGTTGTAGAGATTCTGATATAGTCGGGATTTTGATTGTCGGGATAATGGTAGTTGGGATTTTAATACAGTCGGGATTTTGACATAGTTGGGATTTCAAGCGTCGGAACTTTAGTACAGTCGGGATTTTGATTTTCGGGATTATGGTTGTAGAGATTCTGATATAGTCGGGATTTTTATTGTCGGGATTTTGACATAGTTAGGATTTCAAGCGTAGGGACTTTAATACAGTCGGGATTTTGATTGTCGGGATTATGGTTGTCGGGATTTCGATACAGTCGGGATTTCAATAGACGTTCTTTCGGTTGTCGGGCCTCTTTAAAATTGGGTATCAATATTGTTAGCAACTGAAACGCAAATCAAATATTTAACACGTTTTCCACGTATTTACTCTTTTAATTGTCGGCGTTGAGATATAAAATTTTGCGGTTCCAATTGAACCGTAAATAAAACTCGCGAATCGTCTACGCAAACATCAAATACACACACACCCAAATAAATGAAAAGAAAAAAATATCTTTTGTGCATACTTTACAAATTGTAAATATGATATGCGTTTGTGTTTGCGTAAACAATAATATTTATTGTGAACTTTGTATCGGCAAGTAAAAAAAAAACGTTTTTATTCCTGTTTATTTATTCAATTAACAACTCTTACTGCCATTAACTTAAATAAACCAAGAAAAAAAAAAATGTATTATATCCGTAATGACGTAACCTATCGTCGTTACGTCATTACGGATCCATGCAATGACAGCATTGACGTCTGTCAAAAATTCGGATGAATTGCGCAACATTTTTTTTTATTTGGACTGTACAGAGCAATAAGTTTTATTATATTTTTTTTTCTTCTAAAATTGATTAGATTGTGACCTCGCAAGGTCAAAGCAATGATAAGCGATGTATCATGAAACACACACACAGAGGATGTTTAGAATATTCGGACAGACATATTTGCGCACTCTGTGTAAACTCTGCTGATATTTCACCTCTCTCGTTTCCGACAGACGTTTATTTCGCGTTATCGCGTTCTGTTGCTGCAGAATTATTGCAAACAAAAAAAAAAACGCTTTCACTCGTTAACTACGTTATTGTTGTTATCTCGATGCTTACGTCAAAGTATTTGACATTAACAAATTGTTTGACAGTTAACATAAATATTAAGAGTTGTCATGGTTACTGAAGAAGAATATGTTAGTACACACCACCGCGAACAAAGAACAAAGAGTTTGAAGGCGCTCGCGCTCGCAAGAAGAGGTTGTTTACCCTTGGGAAACAGGTAGAGCCTTCGGTCTGAAACGAAATCGAAGCACGAAAGAGAAAAAGATGATGATGATGATGATGGTGAAGATAACCGAAAGAAAAAGCGTGTTTTGGGTTTCGTAATATGAGATAGGTTATGGAAAAAGTTTAGATTGGATGAGATGTAACCAAAAACGAAAAAAAGAAAAAGTGATCTGCTCTAACATCTGCTTTAGTTCTTTTCGCAGAGTGCGCACACCTTGACAAAAGAAGCGCAGACCAAGCGCGGCGACCTTTACAACTGTAGAGGCTGAGGTTTTATAATTAGAACTTTGTGTCTCGCTTTGTGTCCTCTCATCCCTTATTTAATCTCTTTGTACCCGCCGATCGCAGTCGATAAACTCGAAAAAAAAAAGAGAGATTTCAAAGGAAAGCGCACTTAAAAAAGACGAATTTCCATAGCAACACAAAAAACTTGACATTTCGCATCATTGATAAATTAACTTGTCAAAGTGACATTAATTTCAATTTTGTTTGTTTAAATATGTACGCTAATACACCCTTAACCCCAAAATCATTGTCGCAGGTCACTGTCAAAAAACAAAAATGAATCGCGAAGGCAACGATTATTTTGCGCATACGCAACGCTTTTTAGAAGGTTAAAGGTCAAAGGAGCACTCGAAAAAAAAACAGGATACGCGCGTTTCTATTTCGTTCGTTAAAGTTATTTAAGAACGCAATAATAAAACGTTCTGTCTCTTTGTGTGTGAGCGAGAGAAAGAGAAAGAGTTAAAAAGATGTGTAGATAGATTTGTGAGCGGAATGAAGATGTTCGATAATAAAGTGTACATTAAAAAATAAATAAATAAATAAATAAATAAAATAAGCGGTTGGAGGAGACTTGCGTCAGCTTTCACCTTGAAGCCACGATTTTTCCTATTGTGATCTAACAAAAACACTAGAGACGCAACGATAATATCTCTCTCCACAAAAACAGACAAACTTTTTCGCTATGTTGTCCTATAACTTGACAAAGTATTACGGATGTTATTTGGAAAAAAAAAATATTTTCTACACTTGCAACGATAAGCTAATTGTTTATCTAATGATAACGTTGTTATTTAATAAAAAATAAGTATTTTTACATGCGAAACATTCGACGATAATCGTTGACAGTTTTCCTAATGACAACTGCCAACATATTTGTTTTGAAATTCCAAATGAAAAGAATAGCTGAAATAAATCGAAATTAGTTGTTAAATTAACTTTTGTTTGCTTCATTAATCAAGACTTAATTCGTGTAAATATTGTCGTACGTCAGAGATAAAATTAGAAACGTCAAATTGTGACACAAGTTTTGTTTGAGGTTAATTGATGTTTATAATTGACATCCATTTTTGTTTGAAAGTTGTCATTGCTGTTGTGTCAATTTCAATTTGACAGTTGGCAAAAAAATGTATTAAATAACTATGTTAACGTGTAGGCCAACGTATTTGCTTGAAAAGAATAGAAAAGTAGTCTTAATTATAGTTTTGTTGTTAAATTAACTTTTGTTTGCTTCATTAATCAAGACTTAATTAGTGTAAATATTGTCGTACGTCAGAGATAAAATTAGAAACGTCAAATTGTGACACAAGTTTTGGTTAATTGATGTTTATAATTGACATCCATTTTTGTTTGAAAGCTGACATTGCTGTTGTGTCAATTTCATTTTGACAGTTGGGAAAATTGTTTTGTTGGAAGAAAATGTATTAATAACTAAAGTTAATGTGTAGGCTTTAGTTCTGTTATATAAATAGGTGAGAAAAGTTACGTTTTTCTCGTTTACATTCACGGCAACAATAACAACAACAACATCAAAAAAAAAACTCGCGTTTTCTCTCTCTTTCCATCCTTGATTTTCTAATCTCTTCGGAATGCGTCACATACCTTTAAATGGTGTGGTGTGTGTGTTAGTGCGCGCGCGAAAGCTCGCTCTAGTGTTTGCGAATCGTAAAACGGCTTACGACGACGTCGTACAAACACACAAACATTCCTTCTTCTTCTTCTGTCAGCAGGTAAATGTTTACCAGAATATTTACGTATTATAAGAAGAAGAAGAAAAAAAGATAATTCTAATGACATTACTTCAAATGTCATTATTGACATATAACAAAAAAAAATAGAAAACAAAAATGTTAAAGTAATTTGTTACCTTAGTAACAACAATCGGTGGTAATCGAAATCCCGACGTTCGAAATCCCCGCTGGCTCAAAATCCCGACTATATCGAAATCCCGACAATGTCTTTAATTATTATAAATTTCTACAATAACATTTTTATGGTAATCGGGATTTCGATATAGTCGGGATTTTGACATAATCGGGATTATGGTAGTCGACATTTTGACATAGTCGGGATTTTAATACAGCCGGGATTTCGAACGTCGGGATTTCGATATAGACCCACAACAATATACGTCATTTTTGTTGTATATCGCCGAAATAAATTGTTACCTTAACAACATAATCAACAACAATGAATTCTTTATCTACAAAAAATGTATAATCTCAATTTTAAAAGCGAAACGTCAATATTGACATGTGTCAAATAAATTGTTACCTTAGCAAACAACAATAATAAGTTTGTCTTTGATAAATTTCAAAATATGCTTGTTAAGTCTGTTGTTCGTTGCATAATCTGTTTCGTTTTCAAATCGGAAGTTTGCGAAGATATATAAATAACACTGCAACTGTTACCTTAGCAACATAATCAACAACAATTGATTCATTAACTTCAAAATATGTATAATGTCAATTTTAAAAGCGAAACGTCAATATTGACATGTGTCAAATAAATTGTTACCTTAGCAACAATAATAACAAGTTTGCCTTTGATAAACTTCAAAATATGTTTCTGTCTGTTGTTTGTTGCATAATCTGTTTCGTTTTCAAATCGGAAGTTGCAAAGATATAAATAACACTGCAACCTAACACTGCAATTGTTACCTTAGCAACATAATCAACAACAATTGATTCATTAACTTCAAAATATGTATAATGTCAATTTTAAAAGCGAAACGTCAATATTGACATATGTCAAATAAATTGTTACCTTAGCAACAACAATAACAAGTTTGCCTTTGATAAACTTCAAAATATGCTTGTTAAGTCTGTTGTTTGTTGCATAATCTGTTTCGTTTTCAAATCGGAAGTTTGCGAATATATAAATAACACTACAGCAATCAAAAAAATAACATTGTTATATTCTATTGCGGTCGTGGCGCGTTTTCTTGCTTCATTCATCGGATTCGATCATCAGCGTTGACGTTTAAACCCAAGGACGAAAGTTGATCGGTCTTTCCGTTTTTTCCAACAAAAACATTAAAACGTTATTTATACGCACAAACGAACACCACAAATTATCGCTCGTCGCTTAAATTTTTTTAATTTATTTATATTTTTAAAGTGAGAACGATAAAAAAGAGTGTAATTTCGCGACACGCGCTACTTTTGCCACCGGAAACAAATGAAAAAAAGCGCAAAAAAAACAAATTGAACAACGAAAAGAAAATAAACAAAACGAAAAATTTGAAAAGTGCAGCTTCGAAAATAACCGCACCGCAAAAATAAACCTCAAAACCGTCAGCGGCGACAGGAAGCTTCCTCAGCCCCCCCCCCCACAAAGTTAAAAGAAAACAGTATTATTTTATTTTGTTGGCATACGTGTCTGTCTGGTTGTCACTGTTGTTAGATAACTTTCGAAATTTTCACTTTTATATCGAGTCGTCTGTTTGCTAAAGTTTAAAAATAATTTGCACTATTCTATTTTCGGAAAAATTGCGGTAATTCACAAATAAACAGGTGTTTTGCATTTTTCTCTCTCTCTTCATTAGACCATTAGACACGAACTTGCCAGCAACTACCTGATTTATTAACACTATAGCCTGGCAGGAATCGCGTGCTTTCTTTATTAAAGTGGATTACTTTGTACTTTGTGCAAAAATAGACGCAATTGCGTTGTCCTCTTACGTCATTGACAGTTAAACGTCAATTAACGACAAACTAAGGTTATGTCAAAGTCAATTTAATTATTTGTTGTCATGGAAACATTTTATGTTAATTAGCGTAACAACAGTTGCTACGTTACGTTAACTTATAACTTGTATATAAAAACAGTCGTGTCGTTACGTTTTGTTTAATTACTCGTTAACCGCGCACACTATACAGATAATAGAACTTGTAAATTGATGATGAAACTATGGCCTTTCCAATGAGCCTACAACGAGAATCCTTTTCTTGCAAAACGAAATGGTTTCTTGGTATTCACATCAACTGCGAACTATTCCACTCGTAACGAAAAGAAAAATATTAAAGTGGATTACTTTTCCCAAATAATTGAACGCTTTGTACTTTGTGCAAAAGCAGACGCAATTGCTATGTCCTCTTACGTCATTGACAGTTAAACGTCAATTAATGACAGACTAAGGTTATGTCAAAGTCAATTAACTCATTTGTTGTCATGGAAACATTTTGTGCTAATTAGCGTAACAACAGTTACGTTTTGTTTAATTACTCGATAACCGCGCATACTATAAAGATAATAGAACTTGTAAAATAATGATGAAACTATGGCCTTTCCAATGAGCCTACAACGAGATTCCTTTTCCTGCAAAACGAAATGGTTTCTTGGTATTCACATCAACTGCGAACTATTCCACTCGTAACGAAAAGAAAAATATTAAAGTGGATTACTTTTTCCAAATAATTGAACGCTTTGTACTTTGTGCAAAAATAGACGCAATTGCTATGTCCTCTTACGTCATTGACAGTTAAACGTCAATTAATGACAAACTAGGGTTATGTCAATGTCAATTAACTCATTTGTTGTCATGGAAACAAGTTTAACAGACCAATTAGCGTTAGTAATTACAACAGAACAAACAAATAAACTTGAACTAAATTAAATAATCACAAAAATCTTGACATTTTCAAAAAAAAATGAAAGAAACAGTGTAATCTGCTTTAAGCAAGGATAATTACAGATTTAACAATCTTGACATTTAGCGCTCGTCGTTAACCCGAAGGTTCGAACGTAATTCCACCCGCAATTCGTAATAATAATAATTACTGTTATTATTAGGTTATCAACATCGTCGGATTCAAACGTAACCTTCGCGCTAAGCCGATGATGATGATGATTCTATTTGCAGTTACAAAACGTAATTACGAAACGACACCCGCATCAATGAATATAAGTTTTTTTTGTTGTCCTTTTCAATGTTAATATTGATCAGCTGACAATGTTCGTGAAGTTTCCATGGTTACGCTATCGCAACGTGAAAAACAAAATGTGGATTCGCTGCAAACAAACTAATAAAAATAGAAACAAAATAAAATAAATAACAAATGAATGTAGCGTGCAGAGAACAAGGATGCTCTAAATTTGGCGTGCAATTAACGCCGCTGTGCCGGTACATATTTTTAGACGAACGTTATAATTGGAAAACGTGTGTGCTTGCAATTATCTGAAGTGCGTGTGAGAGAGAGAAAGAGAGAGAGCAGCAACAACTATTTACACGCGCGCGAAAATATTTACTACGACCGATCGCGAAAATTTGTGAGTTTTTCTGCTGCTGCGTCGATGATAAATGGCCTTAGGAAAGTCGACGGATCTGTGTCACATTAAAAATAAACTGTTTTCTTCGGCCGACGCCAATTTCAACGACACTCATTGGTGGCAGTAAACACCTGTACGGTTGCATTTTGTGTTAATTAGCGTAACAACAGTTGCTACGTTACGTTAACTTGTATATAAAAAACAGTCGTGTCGTTACGTTTTGTTTAATTACTCGTTAACCGCGCACACTAGATAGATAATAGAACTTGTAAAATGATGATGAAACTATGGCCTTTCCAATGAGATGCGTGGGATTTATCCTTTTCCTGCAGAACTGCTGGAAAACAATTATTTATTGAACGAAATAGTTTCTTGGTATTCACATCATCTGTGAACTATTCCACTCGGTAACGAATATGAAAAATATCGACCGCAAAATGTAATCTCTAGAACACACAAAAATCTCCAAACAATAAACAATTTAGAAACACAATAGGATTCCGATCGTGATCTTCTCGATAAAACCGCACATAATACGTTTTTATTTGTTATTGTTTCGTTTTTCCAAACTAATTTCATTTTTGCGAATTATCAATGGAATTCACCAGATTAGATAACATTTGATGCAAATATCGGTTAATTAACGTTTCCCACAGAACAAATCAGTCGTATACTAGTATTTTCATCTATAATCATCAATAACTTTCACTTACTAACTTCACTTGTCACCCCATATGACAGTTATGTCAGTTTATGTAACCTGTCATATCGTCGATTGTCATCTTGTATTCACGGGTAATTATTATCGATTAGCAATTTCGTGTGAGTTGAAAAAACATGAAGAAATAAATGAATAAAGAAAAAAAAGCTGTGAGAATCAATGGAAAATTCCAATTCATCTTTAAAAGACAGAATGAAAGATGATGAGTCGTGATCTTCTCGATAAAACCGCACTTAATACGTTTTATTTGTTATTGTTTCGTTTTTCCAAACTAATTTTTTTGCGAATTATCAATGGAATTCACCAGATTAGATAACATTTGATGCAAATATCGGTTAATTAACGTTTCCCACAGAACAAATCAGTCGTATACTAGTATTTTCATCTTTAATCAGCTGAAAATCATCAATCTGACATTTGACAATATGACATTTGTAACTAACTTCACTTGTCACCATATGACAGTTATGTCAATTTATGTAACCTGTCATTGATTGTCATCTTGTATTCACTGGTAATTATTTAAAAAAACATGAAAGAACAGAAATAAATGAATAAAGAAAAAAAAGCTGTGAGAATCAATGGAAAATTCCAATTCACCTTTAAAAGACAGAATGAAAGATGATGATGAGTCGTGAGTGCAGCGCGCAGTACTTTTCCGTTCGCGTCCAGAACAACCATCTGCGAAACAGAAACAAAAAATTCCACCAAGAGACGTCGTACCAACTTTCTAAATTAGTCAGTTTTTAAAACACACGCTGTACATCTCATATTCCTTGTGTTAGTCCAAATCTCTTTATTTGACTTTCTACTAATTTCGTTCTCTTCTGCAGATTCTTCAGAAATCAGGAAGCGCCAGAAATTTTTACCCTAAGCACACGTAAGTTTCTCCAATTCATCATATCAAAAACAACAACAACAGAAATAGAAAACAAAGCAGTAAATGTGCATTGCATTACAATAAATTAAACGATACGTAAACATCGTTCAGCTTTCTTTAAATAAATAACAACGTTTACTTTAAACGCTAACGAACATAATTCTTCTTCCTTCTTTCAATTGTTTACGCGTTACGTATTTATTTAATGATCTGCTATTTGTCAATTCAATTAAAACAAAAACATCCTTGCAATTGTTTTTTATCGATTTAGACAACCAATTTGTCATCAACGCGTGGGATGTTGAATCATCCGATAGGAATTGTTTTTTTTTTTTGACAATCTTGGAAACGTCAAGATAAATTCCTTTATGCATTTGCGAACAGAGACGAACTCTAATAATACATTTAATAATCATAATGATGATGTGTCCTTCCTCAAAATACGTTTCGCAAGAAAGAATTCGTGTGTGTGTCTATAAATACGTTTCTCAAAGGGGATCGGAAACTTTATGAGTCATAAAAATGCGTAAATATATAAACACACACAAAAAAAAAAAATTGTCTTTCACTCGATATTTGTACTTGCAATTCGCGAAATTCCTGTTATAAATATTTGCGTTGAAGAACAACGATCTTGGGTTTACTTCAAACAATTTTTGACAGCTCTTAAATTTCCAACAGTTGCAAACTGCGAAACAATAAATGTAACCATGTCAATTGTAACAACAAATGTGTAACTATGGCAAAACAAATACGAAATTATCATTTGTTTCCTTTGTGAATTTGTTAGAATTTCATTTTTGATCGCGACAAGGAAATTATGAAATCATAATAAAATATAATCGAGGCGATTTGTGTTATTTTTAGAAGACATATATATATCGATTTTCAGACTCTAAATTTAGTCTCCTCCACTCTCTTTGCACGAATACATATCAATAAAGAAAAGAAGGAAAAAAACAAAGAAGAAAAAACAAAACATAAGAGTATCGATTTCCTCGGCACGTTTACCAATTACTACTCTAAATACAAGATTATGTTACCATAGTTACTCACAATTAGTTTCTCCGTATTCAATTACTGATTGCAAATGTAGGTAATCTCCATGACAACGAATATTATTGTTTGTTGGAATATACTTTTATTGTTATGAATGCAAATCGAAAAGAAAACAAATGAATTTCCATTTAACAGTCGTATCTATCAAAGTCTGTTTTGCCGCTAAAAATACGCGAAAATTGTGAGCGGTCTTCGGAAAGAACAGCTGCATCTATTTTCCAACTTGCAAAAAAAAAAATAAATAACAAAAGAGTAATAAGAGAATGCAAGCAGGCGAACCGAGCAGTATTTGGGACACGCTCGACCCCAAATACACTTTCCCAAGGGGAATTCCCTTCAAATTTATATTTATAACACACTGTCGTCTTCTGTTTCCTGTATTCATTTGTTCTCGACCCGTCGTTACCAAGGTGATCTTCCGGTTCTATTTTCCCCCCACTAGCTAATCGTTTATTATCATCATCATCGTTACTATCGAATTATTTCCATTCACCTCGAAAGATCGTCGAAAGAATTCCGAGCGAAAACCTATTTTCGTGCGGTTTCCCAACGCACAGAAATGTAAATAATTAAATGCTAAATTTACGGGGTCTGGACGTGTGGAAATAATAAAGAAAGGAATGTTTCCGCACGCAAATTCATTTTTTTTTTTTTACTGAAACGCCATCTTTGTTCAATCGTGCAATTAAAATTATTGTTTTCTGCAAATGACAATTAACGTAATTGGCTGTCAAATCAAATCAAGTTAAAATTCATTGCATAACCTTGCGATGACAACTGAAAAACAATATGGCGGCTTATTGTTGCCAAGACGACTCGAATTGATTCAAGATAAAGTTTCAAATGTGGAGCGAGTGCATCCAACAAAAAAAAAGAAGAAACAAAATAAAACAAATATTGTTTCGATTGTTGCTATGACATAATAGACACTCGAGGCAAAAAAGATTCCACTCTCGATGAACGTCTTGCATAACAGCACGTTCTCTCTGCTCGCGCTCGACTTTTATTTCATCCGTGTATATATATTTTTTTTTCTTGTTTCTTTCCCATTCTTTATGAAACAAAGATTACGTAATTAATGATTACGTAAGTGTTTTCACATTTCATTAATTTTCTCGAAAACTATAACACATAGAATTAATCCAAAAGATGCATATGAAAGCTGAATGTTTGGGGAATCTAGAAAGTATCGATATATTAGTGTGGTTTTAGCCGTTTGGCTGTAATTCGTGATCAAAGTTTTAAAATGATCGAAAATGCAGTGTTTTTACATTTCATTGATTTTCTCGAAAACTATAATACATAGAATGAATACAAAAGATGCATATGAAAGCTGAAAGTTTGGGGAATCTAGAAAGTATTGATATAT